TGTGTGTGCGCGGCGTGCATTCTTGCTTGCCATGCACATGGAGGTCAGAGGACAGCTAACAGGACTTGTTTCCATCATGTGGGGTTCAGGATTGAACTGAGGTTGTTGGGTTTAGTGGCAAGCATTTTTACATGGTGAGCCATTTCAATGGTCCAAAGTCCATAATCTTATATAAATGGGAGAGGAGATTGGATGTAACAGGGAGCTGAGTTTTCATTTATTAAGACCCAAACAATGACCTAGAAGTGGACCAGGAAGAGACAGTTAAGAGGAAGGAGGAAGCTGAATGCAGTGTTGTGGTGTTGCATATGTTTGTGTACTAACTGCTCGGGAGACTGAGATAGAAGGATTACTTGAGCCCAAGAGTTTGAGGTTAGGCTGGGATATAATAGCAAGACCTCAACACAGGGCGGAGGGGGAGGAGACAAGGCTTGACTTATATACACCTTGCTCTCACCATGCCTCATTCACTCATTTATTTATACATTCCTATTTTCTTTCATATTTGACTACTTACTATATGCTAGATAATTCTAAGAGCCAACTGGTAAGTCTGTAATGCAAGAGAAAAGATGGCAGGTCAAGTGCCTCCATATCCCTTTGCCTATTTAGTGAACGCCTGAATATGTTCATTTTCTTGTGCTGTGCCTCCCTAGGATATGCTCTGCTCTCCTTGTCCTCACCAATTGTGAGCTTTTTGTGTATCTTTGAAGTAGTGTAAATTATACCCCATTGGGTTCTTCTTGGTAAAGAGGTAAAGACTCTGGTTGCCACACTGACTGGGCTTGGTCTCTTAGGCACTGCGACACCATGGAAGGTTGTCTGGAGAGGAGGGGCTTTTGAAGGGCTAACTGGGGGTGGGGTGGGGTAGGGTGGAGGAGGAGGAGTGTAGTGCAGAGATCCTCCTGTTCTGTTAGCTGCCCAGAGGGGAAGGTGTTTTGGAGAAGCAGCATATGAGGCTGAATACAAAGAAGTCAAAGCTAGAAGTCCTGTCTCTACCATTTACAAATTGCCTTCTGTACAAGACAGCTCCTCCAAGTCTCTACCACTTCAGAAGCATTACTGGCCTTGCCATCCTCATAAGAGTATCATTTGAGGGGACCAGTGCCACTTGTTTTTAAAATAAAGTTTTATTGGAACACAGTCACATACTCATATATAGTGTCTATGGCTGCTTTCATTATAATGGCCAGAACAGCCTAGAGTATTGATCTCTGCTCCAGATGAAGAACAATTTGGAAAATAGTACATTTATATATTTGGCTGCAAGAATTTGCTATTATTGCATTTCTCTATTTGTATATGTATGTATTTGGGTACATGCATGCCACTGTTTACATGTGGAGGTTCAGAGAACAACTTTTGAGAGTTCTTTTCCTCCTTCCACCTTTACATGGGTTTGGAGATTGAACTCAGACTTGCACATAAGCATCTTTGGCCCTGCAGAATTTTTAATTCCAACACTCGGAGACAGAGGCAGGCCAATCTCTGTGAGTTCCAGGACAGCCAGGGCTACCCAGAGAAACCTTATCTCTAAAAACAACAACAAAAGATATAATTCATTTAGGGGCTAGAGAGATGGTTTAGAGATTAAGATCATTTGTTGCTCTTACAGAGGGCCGGGGTTCAGTTCCCAGTACCCACATGGTGACTCACAACCATCAGTAACTCCAGTTCCAGGGGATCCTCTTCTGACCGCTGTGAGCATTAAACACATACATGTTGCACATACATACTTGTAGGCAAAACACTCAAACATTAGGTAAAAGTAATAAATACAATAAAGAATTAAGTATATAATTCACATACAATACAGTTCATTTGATAGTGTAAATTCAGTAGTTTGAGAGTCTGTCATCACAATCAGTTTTAGAACATTGTTAACATGATAAAAAGCAGTCAGTAGGGGCTGGAGTGGTTAAGAGTACTTCCAGAATATCCATGTTCAATTCCCAGCATCTACATGGTGGCTTACAACCATCTGTAACTCTAGTTCCAGGGGATCAAATGCCCTCTTCTGGCCTTGGGCACTAGGCGTGCACATTGGACAGACATACATGCAGGTAAAATACCTTAACATATTAAAAAAAAAAAAAGGCAGTCAGTGCTTTTTAGTTACCATCTTTCTGCCTAGCCATTTCTCCAGCCCCAGCACTACTTTCTTCCTTTAAAGATTTCTGTTTTGGACATTTTATACAATTAGACTGAGGGCTGGCCTCTTTCAATAGTATGATGTTCTTAGTTTGTCTATGTTGTATCATATATCCATATTCCAGTCTTTTTATTTATGAATAACATGTTGTTGTATAAATACAACATGTTTTACTTGTACATTTATGGACACGAAGGTTGTTTGTATTCTGGTTATTATGAATAATGCTGATGCAGACATTTGTGTACAAGTTTTTACGTGGGCTTTGGTTTTACTTTTGTTCTGGCTATGTTCCCTAAGCTTAAAATGGCTGGGTCAAATGGAAACTGACTTTTTAAGGAATAGTAAGATTTTTTAAAGGTGGATGAATCATTTTAAATTTCTAGTAGTACATGAAGTTTCTAAATTTCTTTATATCCTCACCAAAACTTGTTATTGTCTGACTTCTTGATTATAGTCAGCTTAAAGGGTGTGAGGTATCTCATTGTAAATTTGTTGTTATTACTATTATTTATTGAGATGGTCTTTCTGTGTAGTCCTGGATGGCCTAGATCTTTATGTATTAGCCCAGGTTGGTCTCAAACCCTGAGTGCTCCTGAATACTAGGATTAAAGGCATTCAACCCCATGTCCAGCTTTAGTTGGAGGCTTTTCTTTATATGTTTATATATAAATATTTTAAATCTGAAAAGCACTGGTTAGAGCTGCCCCAGGATTATAGGAGGTTACCTATTTTGAATTTAGCTTTAAGGTTCAACATCCACCAGATGGCGCCATTTTAAAAGGTAAAGGTATTGTGATTTCATAACTAGCACCATTTCTTGGTGTACTCTGGGAATTGTAGTCCTGTGGTTTTCGGTTGTTCTTAAAAAAAAAAAAAAGGCCAGCTCCTAAATTGTGACTGGTAGAATAACCACACACTAGATGAAGGATTTAAAAAGGAAGTGACACTGAAAACCACTTGTTTCTTTATGGGCTTAAGCAACTTCACAGGAAAGAGATCTTTTATTTTAATAGAAGGTTACTAATTTCCCATATAGCACTCTTTCTATGAATGGTTTTTTATTTATTTATTTTTATTTTTATGGGCATTGGTGTTTTGACATGGGTGTCAGGTCTTTGGAACTGGAGTTACAGACAGTTGTGAGCTGCCGTGTGGGTTCTGGGAATTGAACCTGGGTCCTCTGGAAGAGCAGTTTGTTCTCTTAACCATTGAGCCATCTCTCTAGCCCCCTATGAGCAGTTTTTCACAGTTTTTCTCTGCTGTTTTTCTCTTGTTTCCTTATGGTTGCTTCTTTGATTTTTTTTTTTTCAGTTTGTGTGTATATGTGTGTGCATGTGTGGATGTATGTATGTGCCATACATGCATGTGGAGAACATCTTTGTAGAGTCAGTTCTCTCCTTCAACCCACATAAAGGTTGAAGGTCATTGGGCTTGCATGACAAGCACTTTTACCTGCTGAACCATCCTGCTGACCCTCTCCTTGTTTTTACACAGGGTTGTTGAATAGGCTAGACTGAATGGCCAGCAAGCTATAAGGATTCTCCTGTCTCCACTTGTCCAGCACTGGGATTACAAGCATGCAGTGTTATTCCCTGGCCTTTTACATGGGATCTGGGGATTCAACTTGGGTCGTCATATTAAGCAGCAAGTACTTCATCAACTGAGCTTCATATAAGCCATTTCTAATCCTGAAAATTACTTCTATACATCCCTTCCCAAACAGATCAGTTAATGAGATTTAGTACTGGTTGCTTCTATGGCTCACATACTAATTAACTGCTCAGAGGTCTTTTTACAGCCCACGATGAGATGGGGATTCCTCAGTCTGGGCTCCCACGTGTTCTTACTATTACTGAAGTCACTTGGTCATTTTACTCTCACTAGACAGAACCTCCAGGGCACATTTCATCCCTAAGGCTGGTCCTTGAATGTGAGCAGTATTCCCTGAAGTAGAAGGACTGATGTTTGCCCTTGCCAGACTTTAGGCAGAACAACCCCATCTAAAGCCCACCACCTTATGTGAGACCATTGTCTTTTGGGTTCATTTTGCCATCTGCTGTCTTGTTTTCTGTCTTTATCCCATTTTTGGCAATTTTGGTTTGATGTTCTCTTTAGTCATTCTACTATCCACACTTTAAATTTCTTATTAGATATAGAGGTAGCCCTGGGAAGCAGAGTGTGCCAGATGGGGTTATAGGAAGCACAGCTGTTGTGGTAGCTTTGGGGAGTTAGTTTCTGTCCTTTCTCTGTCCTCTCTCTCTAGCCCATTTCTCAGGCCTGTGCCAGACATTGTGCTCACTGACTTCTCCCTGGCCAGGCTTTTAC